CCTTGAAATTAAGGAGACGTGAAAAAGTAAAGCCATTTTCCGTTTTGCTGTCAACTGCATAAATGGTGTCTCGTATCTTTATGTATTCTTTTAATTCTACCTAGGGAGAGAAAAGCCATGAACAAAAACTTCAGTTAAGCCTTCTCTAAAGGTTAAGCTATTACTGATGTCTTTTCTAAGGATCACATTTCATATACATACATACACGCATGCACACAAGAACACACTCCACCCATCAAGAATTTTTTAGAGTTCATTGTTTTAATTGCCTGCCCTGAGAAAACATCTGATTATAATGAAGAATACAAGAAGTGTTGTTTCCCATGAACTATTCATAAACCAGTCATGGCAGTGTTCAACCACCAGTAGTACAAATTCCAGTTCTATCAAATGAACTATAATGATTTATCAAAGTAGTTACAATTTAGGAATTGGTTTAGTTAAACTGACACAAGGGGCTTAACATGATATAAGGGTACCTGCATTTGTGCATTTAAAAGTGCATTGATATTAGTACAACTGCAAGCATTAGCAGGCATTATATTACACTGTGAAATTAAGCTTAAAGCTGTGATACAATCCTAAATAGACATGCTATAATTTTAATTTCAAATATCTTTACTAGTTTATGGTATCTTCTATACAGACCGGTCTAAAATTATTAGTATAGTACTCCGCTTGCAGGAACTTCTGCAGGTCTCCAACATTATTTAAGGTTGCACTCATTCCAATGATTTGAGTGTTTTCTGTAAAACAGAAGTTGACATGAATTTATTATTGCCATGCTCACAATTTTAAACACTTCTGCTCAATATTGAATTCAAAAGCCTGCTTCTTTATTGTTAGTCTTCTTAAATGCCAAAGTAGCAAGTCTGAAGTGGGATATAACTAAGAAATACTAGTCGAGATGTACACATAAAAAAGCAACCTTTCTCTATGGAAGCTTTTAACTGAAATGGCTAAGATACTCCTACAAAGAAATGGAAGGCATTTGTCAACCCTCAGGATTTCCCAGAGAAGTATCAAAAAGCTTCAGAAACACCTGGTCCACCATTACAGGGTCAAAGGACTAACAAATAAGTAAACACTGTCACTGCATGGAGTCATTCCTAGTTTTTCAAAAGCAGCCAGAACACCACAAATCCTGAAAGGCAAAGTATATCTCTCTAAAGATGCCATTGCTACAATATTTTAGTAACATTAACTGCAGCCGTGACTTACTACTAGCATAAAGAACTTTTGCAAGAGTCATTTCCAGTGTTGCTCCACGACTTCCCTCACCGAGCATATGCAACTGTGCACAGAAAGGAAAGAGAAAATGCAAGAATGTTACTGAGTTAAGAGTATTTCTAAAACGCACAACATTTTTTTAAAGTCCTAAATAAATATTACAGGATATGCCTATTACAGAGGGATTATCATGGACTTCCTCATTATATCCCTCTGGCAAATTCTGACTGCCAAGCTCCTTCCACAAGTATAGCCTCACTGAAACAACATTTAATCATCACAGAAAACCAGACCCAAGGGCAAACACAGAAAACAAGATTTACCTCCCATTTAATTAGACCATTAGTGATACACTTAACTCCTGATACTAAACAGTCAGCATAGAGATCTTTGGGCTCACCAGCCTCAAGCAAACTGTTTTAAGGAACGCTTACAGTGGAAGTTAATATAAAAAGATTTCTAGCAGTCAGCTACTTCCAGAAAAACAAGTTAGTCCTTAAACTGTCTTCTGTTTTGAAGCTACTGAAGTAAACTCAGTTAGGATGAAGTATTCCATGAATTAAACATCTCTGTTAGATGTTATACATGTGATGCAACCCTTAGCAGCACAACTTGGCTGAACCACTTAAGAGCAGAATAAGGGGCAATTCTCCCAGTCAAATATTACTTCATTCAGTCATTATCAGTACCAGTCACGTTTTCGACATTTAAGAGTCCAGTTGTGGGATTCATACAATACATTCTCCATTATTATCTATGTTTCTAATCAATTAGAAATGTCTAATTGACAAGTACCTATCAGTAATTCATCACTAACAGTAGATCTCTCAATACAGAATCCATTGTCCTGATAGAGCAACAAATGCTTCAGTTAAAGAAAAATAACTTTCAATATTACATGTTTACGTACCAATGCAGACAAGTTAAGTAGTGATGATGAACACCCAAAGCAAAACCAAGTAATCAAAAAATGCTCTTTGCTAATAATGGCATATTATAAAGATTAAAGTTTGCAGATTATAAACCTTAGTAAGTCTTGTAGCATACCTCATCTACTACAATGAGACCGAGGTCATCAATTCTTTCTGTTTCAATTAAAGAATTCACTAGAGCATGTCCTTTTTCTATAGTAGCAATATAAAGAGACTTTTTTATTCTCCTCTTGATTGGTGGAAATCTTCCTTTACTTCCCGCATATTCTTCAACCAGGAAGCCCAACTCTATCCCAAAACTTGATAAACCCCTAACCTGTTTAAAGAAATTTAAACAAACAAAAAAAATCAATCAGAGAGCAAACTCTGACTGAGCTGCCTGAAGAACTCAACGTGCATATAACCAACCCACACAGTAATCAACTGCTTGGATTAGTGAAAACATATTAGCTATGACCACCTTTTCCACCTGCAAAGCTGAAATGTTTACAAATATTATCAAGCTTGAGTTGCATCTATTCTCTAAATTAACTTTTCCTTTATGCCAAGAGGATAACTGCAGAACTACACATAACATTGTAACAAGCTATTATTTCAAAATTCAGCATGCTTTATTTTCTGGCTCAGCATCCTCACCTTTGTAAGTCTCTTTTACAACAAAATTACTGACCCTGTGAGCAGCATTTAGGAGAAAAGAATATATTTATAAAAGTCATGCAGTTTGCTAAAATTAGTGTTAAAACCAGCCAAGTAGGAAGGCATAGCAGAGAATATAAGCACTATTAGAAATACTGTATCCAGACCTTTTCCTGGACAATGGCAACATATGGCAGGATCATCAGAACATCTTTCTGTCTGCAGAGTAATTCTTGTAGAATTATTATTTCAGCTACAAGTGTTTTTCCACCACTAGTTGGCAATGAGTATATTAAATTCCTTCTTTGTTGTAGAGATTCTAACATTAAGCAATCATGCTGCCAATCTGCAAAATTAAGAAAGAAGTATTAGCAGCCCCAGAAGCATATTAATCAATATAAAAAAATGCCTATGCTTCCTATAGACTACTTTAAGTCCAGTGTTTGAGTTCTTCTTCAACAGAACACTAAAAGCTGTTAGTGATTGAGCCTTCTAAAGTATTCTATAGACTGTATCAAACTTTCCTACCCACCTAAACACCCAAAATTACCACTTAATAAAACAACCACTTTCCAACATGGTTTACATTAAATAGTACCTTAACTTAAATATTTTTACAGTGTTAAGGGTAAAACGGGCAACTCTTCACTAGTATTTCTTTCTCAACAATTAGTTACATTACCATAAAGCATCTCAATCCCTCGAAATTGCCTGAACAGATCTTTAACTTTGCTAGGTAATCCATAGAAAGGGCCTATATCAACAGAAGAAGATTCAATAGTTTTTCTAGCAACACAAATCTCTTCAGATAAAACAGCTTCTTGAAGCTGCTTGGTTTTAGAGACCTGCAGAGTCTGGGCTTTGGCATTTCCAGTCATAGCACTTTTTATATGATCTTTAAGACTTTCAGTTTTAAATAAATCACTCTTGGAGTCTGAGGAAGAGTCAGTAGGTCTGTTTCTGTGTTCAGCATCATGACAAAAAGATGATGTACTCCTGATTTTCTCTAAGGAAGAATTCACACATCTGTTCCTCCCTTCCGAGGCTGGAGATATTCTAGAAGCAAAAGATAGTTCATCCATTTTCTCAAAATACAAAAGTTGTGATGATGGCAATTCATCTAAAATAGAGTCAGTCTGCTCTTGATTGTTATCCACTACATCCCTTTCACTCACTTGGGAAACATCCTCCTTGTCAGCTTTAAGGATAGCCATATTTTCTGGAATAGAAAAATTATCTTGTTTCTTCTGTGGAAGTCCTGGCTGAAGATTCCCAGGTATGATTTCTCCAGGTGCTTTAATAACCAGCTTTTCATCCTGCAGGTATTTGTGCTCTATATCATCAACTTGAGCTAGCAAAGAATCATTTCCACAAAGGCTGTCATAGTCACCAAACATATCTTCTTCGCTATCATTATCACACTGTAAAAAAAATAAAAAGTATTAGTACCCCAAAGTAAGACCAAGGAAGGCAGCACATCTTGCACAACACATACGAGATGCAAACCATTTAAGCCTTTCCCAACTTCAGAAGAAACGTATATGATTTTCTGATGTTATGAGGAAAACCTAGCTTCACTTCTAAGTGAACTCGCAGCGAGTGAAGCTTAACCTACAAGTAGGCATAATGCCGGCTAAAGTCAAACTACATTCCCTCTCATACAAAGTAAGACACTCCCTGATAGACACCGCACAGGCTGAGGCTGGGCCAAGCCATCCTCCCAGGTGGTGTTCCCTCCACCTCTATACGCCCGCCCGCACCCTGCCACCCCCGTACCGAGATCTCCGCCGGGGGCCCTTCTGCGGAGCTCAGTCTCTTACGAGCCACCGGTGAGCAAACGGCGCTAGGTTGCACCGAGGCCCGGCTCCGCTTGCGGACAGAACCGGGGCAGCTCTTCCTCCGCACCGCGAGTCGGGGCTCAGCCATCACCGCCACCCCGTGAAGCTGAGGGACGTAGAGCCTCCGGCCGGCGCTGCGAAGAAGCGGTACGGAGAGCGTCACGGCCGCAGCAGATTACGACAAGGGACGGCCGAACAGCCAAGAACGAATGTGACCGCCATGAAACGACTAGCACCTCTAACAGAGGCAAACATTACTTCCGCCAATACCCTGCTAAGACACAGAACCCGCGGCCAGGCAACGACCAATTGGCTGCCTCCAGCTGGGCGGGCCGCGGTCCCATTGGCCAGCTAATCGCATCTGTGAGGGCGGTCGGGCAGGCGAATGACCTATAGTCGGAGATGACGCTTGTGGGCTGCAGGGGACAACATGGCGGCGCGGGTTTTGGCGGCTCGGCCCTGGCGGACACTGAGGCCTGGTGTGTTCCTTTAGAACGCTCCTTTAGAGCGAGGTGGCTGTGGGGAGGAAAGTTGCGAGCTGGTCTCTCCTGCTGTGCTGCCGCTAACTGTGACTCTTTATCCCTTACAGCGGCGTTGTGGGTGCGGCCGCACCGCCTCCAGCATGAGCAGCTGCCCGAGCAGTCCGACCAGGTGAGGTAGCCCCCCCGAACTCCGCGTCCTCTGCCTGCGCCCAGGCTGCTGCCGCCCTCGCCAAGAGGGGCTCAGGTCGGGCAGCGGAGGTGTCCGAAAGTGCCTTGGTTTTCGCGTAACTTGGGCTCCCGAAAAGCCCCCCTGAACTCAAGTAACTAGGGCTTCTAAAAGAAAACCGACTCTGAATTCAGTTACTTGGGGTGTTACAGAGCAGGGACCCAGTGCTGAGGGAAGACACCAGGTATTCCAGGTGAAGGTGCCGTTGAGCTATAGCCCAGGATCTTAACTGTGGTCATGTAAATCAGCTGTCCGAGTAACACAAATGTGGAGCAAAATTTGTGGAGCAAAAAGTTTGGCAGAACTGATTTCTTGCATGTAGCTGAGAAATAAGGGCATGTAGTGATAAGAGAAGGGGGAATGGCCTTAAGCTGACAGAAGAGATTTAAATTACATACTAGGAAAAAAATTCTTTATTATGAGTGTGGTGAGGCACTGGCAAATGTTGCCCAGAGAAGCTGTGGCTGCCTCATCCCTGGCAGTGTTCAAGGCCAGATTGGATGGGGCTTGAGCAACCTGGGCTAGTGGAAGGTATCTCTGCCCATGGTAGGGGTTTAGAACTGGATGGTCTTTAAGGTCCCTTCCAACACAAACCATTCCATGAACAGACTAAAGCGAATTCATTGCATGTAGTTATGTCATAAAAAAGTGTTGTCCTGTACAAGCAAAAACTTTTAAGATACTGTTTCTCTGCCCAATTCTACCTATGCCTGTATTTTTTTTTCTTTCTCATATCTTGTTCTGAAGCTTGATGAGCTATTCAGGGCTTAGTAAATATTTGAGAATCTCTCTGTTAAAGTGTGTGGACAGGAGCTCCCTCAGGCCATTTGCTTTGAATTTATATTCAGAAAAGTCTCTTCAGACTTACCAGGCAGAATTACCTTACTACCAGCTTCCCTGGATATTGTTTTCTAAAGTAAAGGGTGTAAGCACTATCTATTAATTAGACTAGAATATTTAGTTAAGGTTGGAAAGGACTTTCAGATCATCTAGTTCCAACCCCCTGCCATGGGCAGGGTCACCTCACACTAAACCGTGTCACCAAGGCTCTGTCCAACCTGGCTTTGAACACCGCCAGGGATGGAACATTCACAATTGCCCAAGGCAACCCATTCCAGTGCCTCACCACCTTAATTAATTGGCTTGTTACATTATTACTAATATATAAAAGGCTGTGTAGGTGTGTAAAGCCTTTTAGATTGCTAGATGACTGTGTTAAGAGAAATAGAGATAAGTTATTGAAAAACTTCATTGATGCACTAAATACCTCTTGCTTTCAAGGCATGTTTTGCCCAAAGAATAAAAATATAAAATATTTCTTAGTTTCTTGTGAAGCTTACAGGTGTTAATAGATCTCTTAATTTCAGCCCATACAAATGGAGAATCCCTATAAAGAGCCTCCAAAAAGATGTGTCTTATGTGGGATAAATGTGGACTACAAGAATGTGCAGGTGAGTTAAAAAATTCCTGTTCTTAAATGATGGAAACTGGTTTACTAATTTTAAGTGTGTATAGGAAGTCTACCATGATAAAAAAATAAGAATTTATTCATACGTGTAGGGGTTTAAAATTTAAGAGCAAGAATGTGTGCAGATAATGGTCAAATAATGTAGTTGTGCTAAACTGTTCAATCTACTAGACTTGTGTGCTGGTGTTAAAAATTTACTTTATCAACTAGTTCTTGGTTCTAATACCACTTAAATGCTGTGGCATAGAAAATACTGTAGCTCTAAATTATACTTTTTCTTGTCTCTAGTTTAAGAGCATTAAAGAAAGAAAACCAGAATGCAAGTAATAAACTAAAGCTGTCTTAAAGTTCTTAAACTGATTTTGGATTTCTTCATTTTAAGTAGCTTCTTTCCCAGTTTGTTTCTCCGCATACTGGCCGCATTTATGGCAGGCATATAACAGGTATGTGAAATATTAAATCACTAAATACTCATGTTAATGGGTTTGTGAGTCAGAGTAACTGTATACTGGTTATCTTTCCAGAAGTAACTACTACCAACTCCATACATTCTGTAAGAGTACTCCTCTGACTTAGTGGCCTGCTTCAAGGAATGAAAATAGTCCTTAATTATATGCATTTCGTATTTAATAGTATAAGCTCACATGCATTTGTCTAGGAAGACCTAGGCAAAGCTAGAGGGAATTGCCAGTAATATCCCTTTCACCCTTTAAACTAATGGTTTGGTAGTTGTTGATTTAAGAAGCTGACAATGATTCATCTCTTTAGGCTTGTGCAACAAGAAGCAGAAAGAAATTACGAAAGCCATTAAAAGAGCTCAAGTAATTGGTAAGTATGACTATGCTTTTGAATTTTCTCAGTCAGGCTTACTTTTCTATTAAGAAAAACCTCCATCTTATCTTTTTACAGGATTTATGCCAGTTATGTTTAAGAACCCAGCATTTCTCACAGACCCCAAGATATGTAATATTAAGTATCCAGAGTAATACACTGTAAAGAAATAAACAATAAAACTACTTTTTATGATCATATGCTTGTTTACTGGAAATGCAGTTGGCTAGTACCAATGCATTGCTGACTGAAGGGTGGATGTCAGTTTTTTTTATGTTTTTTTGTTGTTTTTTTTCTTTTTTTTTTTTGCTTGTTTTTATGAAGTGCCACATCTCTAAAATACATTGTCAGAAGTACAGAAGATGAAAGCAACAACAGAAATTGGCAGCTGCATGGACCGCTTCTTCCACTTAAAGTCTTGCCAAAGTTGAGGTGGCTGTTCTTTCCCTTGTAGGATTGGAAAGGGGAGGAATAAACAAGTACTAGATACCTAAAGAGAGATTAAAGTAGTTAAATTGTGACAGTTTATGCAAACAGAATTCTGGTAAGCATGTTACCACTTCTCCAGCAGCAGCTTCAAGTTGTATTACTCTGAGGCAGTATGTGATATGGTTATATGACTAATAACATACTGCTACTATAGTCTTTAAACCCTGAGAGAATACAGATCTAGCCCTGTAAGGCAAAATGAGGGAATGTCATCTGGACTTGTCTCTGTGCCAAACAGGATTCATCCATTGGAGTTAAAAAAAAACAACTGTTTTGCAAAAATGCACTATGATACTTTCATCCCTGCAGTACTATAAATCGATATGTCACTTGAGTACGCTGGCAGTAGCTCTTGGTGGAAGGTCTGGATCTGGACAAATCTTTAATGGATCAGAAAGTAGGAGATTGTGGGTATTCATTTGTGTCTGTCTTCTCAAATGAATCCTCATCTGTTCCAGTACTACTCAGTGTAAGCTTCCTTTCCTGGTCAGTGTCCTCTTGGTCTTGAAGTAATTTTTGGTGAAGCTGCAGTGATCTGGATTTCTTGAATGACTTTGATCCTGTTGTGGTCCACCTGACTTTACGCTTGGTTAAGTGTCTTGTTTCAGCTTCAGTGACGTCTTTTTCCTCTACCATGAGAGTTAGTTTGTCCTTGACATTAATGTTATGGTCAATGTTACAGCAGTTCTTTGGTATATGTTGGCCTTTCAAGGAAACAATACATGCCTGAAGTCCAGAATTGGGGAAAAAAGTTTGCAGTGCCTGACAAAGGAGAACATTCTCCTGTGGCTCTCCTGCGCAGTCTGTGACTTCTGGAAAAAAACGAAAAAGTACTAGAGTTGCAGTCCCTCTTGTACATTACTACCACTACTGTTTTGGCTGCCTCAAGATTGGAATTGGCTTCTGCCAATTGAATCCATTTTGGAAGTCTTACTGAGACTGGTGTTACATTTATTTAACTTACCTGAACAAGTCTGTTGCTTTTTCCTCTTGATTTCTTCTTTTAATTGGCTCACCTCTGCTAAGAGTTTCTCTACAGATCGTTCACTGACTTCTACTGTAGAGCATATTTTCTGCAAGGAAAAGAGCATTCAGTGGGATTAACAGTATCCACAGGTGAATTTAACCTTGTTGCAATACCCTTAACGGTACTTGCAAGTTGGACACAAAGTAGCGAAAAGTTTAAGTAATGAGGCAGATTCTAGAGGTAACTTAAACCTTGTATGAGGTGCAAGATACCTTATTTGTTCCGTCTAAGCAAAGGAGATGTAACAAACTACAGGTGATTAGTCCTTCAAAATAATCCTACTGTGAGAACTTAGTGGGCTTGAGGATTTGTCAGTGTACTTTTTCATCAAGTGCAAACTGAACTCTTCAGCTTTGAGAACTTGATAGCAAATGCACTTCTCTGATCTTTCAAAGACAGCTTTAGTTCTTTAGTGAAAGATGGCGTACCCTTTGCTTGACTTATTTTTGTAGTACTGCTGAAAGTAATGGTATTGGCAGATGTGCCTGACTTACCTTCAGTTCCTCCTGCAAGGTGGCATACATCTCATTTATCTTGTGAACCTCTTGTAAGGACCCATCTTCATGAAAGAATTCTGACCTGTAGACCAAGATGATAATTGTGTAATTGCAACTTTATGACCTCAGTGCTTGCTTAGTAGGAGATACGATATATAAAGAAGCTTTCTGAGCTTCAACAATAGGTGCCGATGTTGAGACAGACAGCTCTCATGACAAAGTATGGGACTGAACCAAGTACCTTAGAAAGGAAAATAGTTGCAGGAAACAGGTCAAAAAAGTGAGCAGGGTATGGCTGTAGCATTTGCAAAAGCACTTAAAAAAAATACTTCCATAGAAAGATGACTGAACTGAAATCTACAGCTATCAATGAATAAGGTATATATGGTACCTGTGTTGTCTCACTGCTCTCACAAACCCTGACGATACACAGGAGCCAGATACTGTTCTGTAACCTTGCTGTTCTGCCATACCCAAGTTGGTAACCACCAAAGGAACTTTCTGGAAAAGACTTAAAAAGCGGAAGTACAAAAATATGATTTATTAAACATCCAGAGGCCTCTCTGATAAAGTTTCTTGACCATTAAGCATCCCAGATAGTTTTACAGTGTAGTCAGTTCTTGCTAAATGCATTAGATAACACATAAATGACTGCTAAAGGCAAACTGCAAGAGCAATAAGATCTGATCAATGCCTCTAGTTTTTTTCCCATTTCTGTATGAGTCACAGAAACATGATAGTTGTTTGTTACACCCAGCCTAGGGGCAGCAGGTTTCTGAAGAAAACTGCAAGTTACCACCAGTTTAAATATTTCAGTGATATGTGAAGATGAACACCATGGATAGTTGAAGTCCAATACATTAAATTGATCAAGAACATAAATCGATCATTTATGTGCATAAAGTGTCTGCCTATTGACACTAGCACTACAAATAGTTATAAAGCAAAATCTCTGAACAGAGCTCCAGTGTAAGATTTCAGCTGGGCTCTAGCAATATAAGGAATAAAGTTATTTAATGTATAAGTTTCAGGGGTAAAATAAAGTGTTACCAGTAACTCAGCTGCAATGAAGAAAACAAACTGTGTTAAGTTATAGCACATCTGTGCTACTGCTTCATTAGAACCAGAGAACAAACAAGTTACCCTTCTTGTGGCCGATGTAAGGCATGTTCCAGTCTGTAAGTAGAACAACTTTCTGTCATAACACTAGAAGTTAATAACAGGAATACAAGGCCCTGGTTTGATAGGTGTGACTGTAAATTCTTATGAAGAAGTCTTTCCCGGAATGTCATGGCCTGGTCTGTGTTACGTCTGAATTTGTACCATCCTATTACATTCTGCAGGAAGAAGAAAATTTATTGCTGTTGATTAATGCTGCTTCTGTGTGTCAGGAAGCAAGTTAGATCATTCAGTACAAAATCACAGATCTGAACTATTCCATGCCTTGTACATATTCAAACATCTTGTTACCTTGAAAACCTTAAAACATCTAAGCTGAACTCTAGGATGACAACTTCCCTCTTTCCTTCAAAACCATGTGTTGAACTGGCCTGTTTTCTGAGCTTGTGCTCAAGCTGAAACTCTGCAAATTTTGTTCTGTTATTTTGCTGTGTGCCTCTTTCCAGCTTGTACTTTCACCTTGAGAAACTTTATTCTGTGGAGAAAACTAACTCTATTTTGATCAAGTGGTGCTTTAACCACTTGAATGAGCTGACTTCAACTGAGCTTAATCTAGAAGTCAGTAGAACACCTTTGGGATATTTGAACTGTTTACTTGAAAACAAATAAGAACAAAGTTGTGACATATGCAGGCAAACCATAGTCAAAAATAACCTCATCTGTTTGTTTTAGGGTTAAAAATGATGCAGCTACCTTGACCAGCAGTGTGAGTGACTAGATACAAAATTTTTTAAAAGGGGGGGAGGGGGAAAGCTTGATTCCACAGGTGTCCAGAATCGCCCTCAAAATCTGAGTGAGCTCCATGGTATGGTTTAAGCTTGAAAATAAAATACCTTCTTACAGCCTGATAATATTTTCTTCAGTGCAAGTTCGTCCAGTTCTCCTGCAGAATTATAAAAGCTAGAAGAAAATTAGAACAATTAGAGGAAAAAAGAATGCAACTGTAGAAATAATTATTCCCTAGCAGTCTGGCAGTCCTCTCAATAGCTTTTTTTACCCTGTTAGGCATAAAGATATGCTGACACAGCTTCTCTTATAAGACAGTACAGTTAATTTCATTACTCAAATAGCTATGTAGGTGGTCTTGTACAGCCCAGATGCTGTCCTAGCATCAGTGCTACTGGGACACGTTAAAGGTAGCATCTGTGTTCTCTCAAACCAAAATATGCCTTCAATTTGATATGAAATGTCTAATAACATCTGGGTTTATTAATTTTCAGAAAGATTTGAGGATGAGACTGTTGTGATTTTGCTCTCACAGGGGTGTAAACTTGCCCTGCTGTATCTAAGTAACTAGTCCTTGAAACTGCTCCTGCCACGGCTCTAACAAGCATTGTGTTTTCTGACCCACTTAAAAGCCTCCAGCTGATGCTTTTTCTTTTTTTTTTTTTTTTTTTTTTATGGTGACACAGTGGGATGTATGGTTTTTGAAAAGCAATGCATTTTATTTATTTTTTTTTTAGTATGTTGACATTATTGTGTAGTTTAGATGGTATCATAACTCACCAGAAGGTAGAGAATGGCATATCTCTTTCTGTATGCAGAGACAAACACCAAAAAGGGGCATGATACACCAGAATAGGAATAACAAGGCATTTCGAGAGGTTGATATGGCTACTGTAGTTACAGCCAGGTGATTTTCTCAGTAATGTAATGTAAGTTTAAATCTTGAAGAGTTCAAGTTAGAGTTAATTTAAAAATTTTCATATTTGCTCATTTAAGTGTCTCACCTGAACAACTGGTAGCATGGAATATGCTTCTGTATGTCTGGAAAGAGAAGGTAATATTACTTTGGGTTCATCAGTTCAAGATGTGTATTCTTCTGTATACTATGGTCAGAATTACACTGGTAGAAGACAAAGAATTCTATATAATTTCTTAAAATAAAATACTTTGGCATCTGATTAAATAAGGTTAAGAAAGGAAATATTTTAAAATATTCTAATTTTTCAAATGTAAAAGGAACCGTTTATGAACTATTTTTAATACATTTTAAGTGAAAAATCAAACTGGGCAGTTTATTTTTCCCTTTGTTCTGGCCAGTACAGGAATAGTATGTAATACAAAATATTTCACTTCAGTTCACTTCACTGCAGCAAGGCATGGATGCTCTTAGTGAGATGAGGCTGGGGAACAGAAACCTGTAGTGTAAATGGTGAGAACTGGAAGACTGACTACCAGAAGGAAAAACACTAAGTGATCTAATGGCATGATAAATCTTTTCCTTTACCTAAATTCACCACTTCCATTTTCACCTTTAACCTGATAAGATACTTGGCAAAGGAGCTGTTAAAGAAACTAAGAGCTAGTATTTTTGTTCAGTTATATTTTCTACAGTAAAATTGGCTTGGTGCTTTTTTTGTGGGTGGGTTATTTTTTTTATTGTGTAATTAAAATGTTACAAAATAATCCCTTTGGTGTTTGTTTTTTTGGGTTTGTTTTTTTTTTTTTTTTTCATCGACCTGGATCCCCGGTTCTAGCAGTTTTGATCACTTTCTAAGATGTTGACTGCCCTAATTGAAAACTAAGCAGTCGTATATTGTGTAAAACCAAGCATGGTATTAAAAATGCAGACAGACTGACCGATTGTATACACAACTTCGACATCATCCATTTGTGAGTCAGTAATGCTGTTCTTGGCTTCACCTTTCACATCTCCAAGGAGAAAACCTTCCTTTATAGGGGAAGAGAGAAAGAAGTTCACATTAACAGCACCACTGAACGGGACTTTGTCTAATGTTAACAGCGTATGTGCTGTCTTTCCTTCAGGAAAGTAAAAAAAACTGTCAAGATCAACTGTTTTTCTTAGATTCTCTCGCGTTTTTCTGTATCTGCTCATGTTTAAGGAAGAAAAAGGCTGGAATGTGCACTCAGCTGTTTCCCATTCCTCTTGTTTTCACTCGCAAGTGAACAGTTTGGGACTGTACAGGCGATGCCCAGCTCCGAGGCTTAGGCCAGGCAGCCTCACCAGCATTCCGGTCAGCCCTTGGCAGGCACGGCGCTGCTGCCACCACAGCAGCGTTCGGCGGCCTGCACCGCCTCGTTTGGAAACAGCCACGCTTTCCCGCCATGCAGCACGGAATGCAACCTCCACGGCAGCCGGGTGCACCGGGGAAGGAGAACGCTGCAACACCGCGTCCCAGCACAGCAAGCCGTGAGGACCTCCCAGCACCAGGGTCCAAGCAGGCAGCAGTGCGCCCGCCCAACGGGGACGGGAGAACCCGACGGTGGGCCCGGCCATGGCGGCGGCGGCGCCCCTCCTTCTGCTCCCCCCGCCCGCGATGTCCGCTTCGCCCCGCCCTGTCCCCTCCCGCCTCTCGTGACAGAGGTGGCCGTGGCACTCACCGTGTCCGAGTCGGTGCTGAGGTGTTGGAAGGCGAGGGCGCCGAAGACGAAGCCCGACAACAAGGCCGACGTGCTCTCGCCCTCCATGCCCCCGACAATGGCGGGCCGAGCCGCCGCGGCGGGAGCCCCCAGCGGCCGCCGCCGGCAGGGCAGGGCCGGAACGGGCACATCCCGTTGGTGAGAGCGCCGGAGGTGTGCGGGGCCCGGGCAGCGGCCTGGCCCGGGCCTATCCAGAGGGGCGCGGGCTGTACTCAGCCCTCGTCTCCACCGTGCCCGCTTCAGCGCTCCTTAATTGTCCCGTTCTCTTTCCGCCACCTGCCCGGCGAGGATCAGTGCAAACCTGCCGTTTCAGTTTGCCTTGAGTGGCGTAATTCTTAAGCCTACATTTCTGTTTTGTTTTTACCGTGTAAACAATGCTCAGATTTAGGAAGGCAGTTCAGTCGCCCTGCAGTGTCATGTGTGGCTTCTGGGGGTAAGGACTGCAGATGCAGCAGCAAGGGGTTGTTCCTGGGGGCAAGGTGAGGTGACCTGGCCTCAGTGGTGCCTGGCTGGTCACATGCCTGCAAGCCTCAGGATGTATGTCTCTGTCCTCAAGTCAGGATCTGAGCTTATTGGAAACACCTCACTGGTCTGTACTAAGAGGTTTAGTGAAGCATCAAACCAGCATTGAAACAGAACTGCCTGATCCACATTGCCTGTCTGGGAGTGTGGGTGGAGAAAGCTGGGTTCATGTCTTTGGAGTGGGAAGATTGTGTCATGCCAGCCTGCAATATGAAAAGGCAGGGCACTGGCTACTGGCACTCCTATCTGTAACAAGGTTGTACGTTTTGAAACAGGACAATGAAGCTGTATGTCTGTAGGTGCATTGTATTGTTTAGGGTCGTGGTGAGAGTCTTCTGAGTTAGTAACCTAATAAATTGCGATAAGGAAGTAATAAAGGGAGAGATAAAAGTGGCGGTGTGCTTTGAAACGTGATCAGAGATCTAGTCTAAACTCCCTTTCACTTCAGAAGAGCAATGTTTGATTTCATCCCTCACCAGGACTATAGCTAAGTATATTCTTAGCCTGACTCTTGAAATAGGATGTGTGCTCTTTTGGTCTTTCAAGAGGTATTCCCATGACTTTGGGATCTCATGGCTGTATTTTTAGGTTGCATATAAAATTGACCTTTTTAGTGCAGTAAGAAATCCAGGAGGTTCCTGGATTATTTCCTGGGTATCTTCCTTCTCCAGGTGATAGGGAAGCTAATGAGAAAAGGTGCCATGCTGGATCTTGTCCTCACCAACAAGGAGGAGCTGGTGGAGAATGTGGCCCTGCAGTGACCATGAGATGGTGGAGTTCAAGGTCCTTAGGGTGGAGAGGAGCATGCACAGCCAGCTTGCTACCCTGGACTTAGGAGAGCTGGCTTTGGCCTCTTCAGGGATCTGCTTGGTAGAGTACTGAGGCATAAAGCCTTGGAAGAAGAAGGGCTCAAGAAATCTGGTGACCCTGCACATGGCAGGGAGATTGGAACTAGGTGATCTTTAGGGTTGCTTCCAACCCAAACAATTCTGTGATCTCTGAATAAGGGGGTAATGAGTCTCCAGATGATACAGAATGGTGACAAGATTAATGGAAAAGAGCTGGTATGCATTTCTTGCGGTGCAGGCCATGTGATGCTAAACAAATGGGTAATAAGTACAACACAACCGAAGTGGTACATTGCAACAAATGACTCTGCTATGAGCCATGTTGCTGTGGTGGAGGCAACAAGAACATGGATAAGGCCAGTTTCCACAGCTGTTGGTGGACAAAATGGTGAATGCTGGCATCTTTCAGAATTGCCTCAAGTGACCCTGTGCTGTGGTTGCACTCACTTCTAAGCCAGAGCTGTGAGAAAATTTTACACATTTAATCAATTCAATAAATGTTGGGCAGGTGCTGACAGATTATTCTGTGGCATACACAAACCATATACAAGATTTATAGTGACAATGTATGAGATACATACTGGCCGTCATGTAATGCCTACACATCTGGTGTGTATCTATACACTCTGAGGCAAACATGCAGTGAGAACATGTAGTGGACTTCCCATTTTTGTGACACAAAGATGCAAGCTTGCAACGCTACAGAATATGATAAAAAAGTTTCTGTAATTGTTGCATTTATCTTGGGTGGAAACAATAACACTTGTTGTCATGTGTTGCAGTCATCCTGATAAGTGATACAATACTTAAACATACTTCTTCAGTATTTTCCTAGTTCAACTGTTGCTATCCAAAGATAAACCATAAATAGCACAATCTTTTTGCAGTCAGTTATAAACACAGATCTGTGTAGATGGGTGATCATTGTAGATCAGTGGTATAGATGGGATCTGTGCGGGCCTGAAGAGCAGCAGACATAGATCAGTTAGAGTATGAATGCAGAGAAGGGGGTATTTGCACTTTAGTGTGTGCAGACAGTGTGCTTTCCATAAATGCATATTGCACCTGACATTGCTTATCATGCAATAGGTGAGCTTCAAGGTTATTCTGACCTTTTGGAGGGTTTTTCACAAGTGAAGCATGAGCCTCAGTCTTGATATAAATGGAAACAAAACTACCAGAGATGTCACCCTTGATTAGCAATCAGGAGGAGTTTGCTGAATGTAAGGTTGAAACATTGAGAAGATATAAGCAAAAACTAAAAGGGCCTTTTTATTTGGTTGGTTAGTTAGTTTTAAACAGCAGGTAAAAATTTAATTGAAAAGGAGGTATTCTGAGTTGTTTTCATGTGTGAGTACACACATCACAATTACCAGAGTGTAGAATGCTCTGGTCTGTTTGAAAGACTTTCCTATCCTACAAAACATAATGTTGGTACCTCTGAATGTTAAGAGATGCTGGGAAATCAGCCCAGGTTTGCTTCCATGACTTTGTGTCATTGACTTAAAGGGCTTTTCTAAGTAGATCAGTCTGTTTTGCAGGCTTTGTAACATGGCAAAACTTGAATGGAAATACCAGGGAGCCCTCCAGCTGACGGCAAAAGAACAATTTTAGCAGTATTAACACCTTCGTGTACCTACTGACAACGCTAGGGTGTACTTCTAGATATAAGCAGCTTTTAATCATGTTACAGCTCAAAATGAGTAAACAATATACTGTGTATATTTGTGTAAAAAAAGTCAACTGATAGGAGATTGGCTATGATTGATAGTTGTGGAGCCTGTTTTCATTTGCCTCAGGTAGAAATACCTCTGTTAACCCGTAGAAGATGTATTACTTGAATGTCAGAAGCACCACCTGTGTTATTGATGTGTCAGTGCTCTTTTGGAACTGTATCTGCTAGGAACATACGGTGTTCTGGTAGTTTGATAAGAAAGGCATTACAAGAAAGCAGGCCGGTAGCAGCTGCAGACTCTCCTCTCTGTGACATCCCTCCGCGCAGCTTTTGGAGTCACTGGAGTAGCCACTCTTGTTTATACCTGATTTAATCCTTCCATATGAGGCACTACAGATAGCCAGAGGTCAGTGCTATGTTTGTTTCTCCTTGCAGTGAAAAAAGAAATGAGTCATAATTCCAGTTCCCTCAGACACTTGCAAAACATTGCCCAATAAGAAATTAATAGAATGACCTCAAGGATAGAGAGCCAAGAGTAGGCAGCTGACACCCACTCCATCTCATTTCTCTAGGAGACCAGGGATATCTTCATTGTTTCAAGTGAATTTCCTATGATGACAGATGTCAATTTGAGATTTGTTAAATTGAAGGGAGCTTTTCTCTTAAATTAGTCCTGTGTCACCAGCATCCCTTTTTTTCTTAAGTTGTATTTCATTCTTTCAAATGAAGACAGTTTTGCACATTGTCTAGTGACTTTTCCTGACATATAAGGTACTTCATCATAAAGAATTGTGTGTAGTTATTTGGTAGAAATTCATCAGCTGTTACTTACTGGATCTTAAAAATGATCAAAATTACATTCTGTTGTCTGTTTATTTGAATTATTTGCAACACCTTCACACGTCTGGATCAAGTAGCTCTTTCAGCTTCAAAACAGACATGATTACAGCAGGCTGGCTATGGGTAAGAGGGGTAAATGCGAGAAGGGTAGAGGAATGACATGGAGAAGCTCTGTTTAGTTGGTGGATGGCAGAGCTAAATCTTAAAGAAGTTACTGTGCTGAGGAATTTTGTGTAGCGCCATCACAAACTATTTATTCAGTCAACGTTCATGGTGTTGGATGCATGTCTGTCCATACTGGAATCTGACAAACATGTACATTTCAGTGGTTCTTTTGAAATAATAATAATAAAATAAATAAATAAATTAGTGATTGTGGTGGGAGCATAAAAAGCTATGCCAACTTTCTGACTGGAAAAGAGGAAGCAGTGTTATGAACTGCCTGAAGAAATAAAGAATTTCCTTTCTTCTTCACATTGAGAGCAAGTGCATCACCTTCATACAGGGCAGAGATACATTTCAAGTCCAGATTTACTTCTAATAGCAATCCTGAGTGCTTTGGAGTTAAGATGTAGACTTGCTTTGACCATTTGGCTCAGTTGTTTCCATGCTCATGATCCCAAGAGCAGAAAGATATTTTATAAGCTTTGCCATCTACTTTTGGCATAAAATTAACCAAGACTGAACTCCTGGAGTGCTGCTGGAGTGGCAGGGAATGTGACTTTGTATGGGTTAGACATGCAGTGCAAACGGTAATGTGTCACAGGATGGAAAACCATTCTCCCTCATACAGGAGAGGAACCTCTCCTTCCTCTCTCCCAGGGTACAGAAGGCTGTTTTTCCCTCTCTCCTTATGAGAAATATCCCTCTTTCGTGTGCTTAGGCTCATTGCTGAGGCGTCTCATTAGCACAGTCACTACACCTCCCTGGTGTGCTCCACTTCACCCACCTTTCCTGCCTCAAATCAGATCCCAGAAACTACCTCCACCCTCCCGCCTACGAAGTTTTTTAGTGCCCAGCTGACACACATACCAGTCCCCTGTGCCGAGGCTGAAGGCAGCTCTTCAGAGATGTGCTGCCTTGTGCCAGAGGGTCAACACCCACTTACCCAGCTTTCTACTCTATGGCACCCTAGGGAACGTGTTAGCAGGGCAGGCTGCTCGAGGAAGAGACCAGAAATGAGAATGTAAGGAATGTTAGCTAAACACAAATGGGTGAGTAAAGCTGTTGCACAATGAAACATTGTTCCTAGATAAGCCTAGAACTACAGCCTTTTGGTGAGGAAGGTGAGGAATAGTGGGTAATGGTGTGCCTGGCAGCAGAAGTGTAATGGGATAGAGGGGCTTGCAGTTGCCGTTGAGAGAAAAAGCAATGGGAAGGCAGAAAGAATTAAAAATCAAACCCATGAGGTTTTGTAGAACATACAGAAGGCTCAGAAACAGGTCAGCAACAGAAGGGAAGGTAAAGTAGGCAAGCAATGAAAAAAAAAAATGCAAAAGAGAAGTCAGATTGCTGAAGAAGATGTGTAGTTACAGAGACCTGAGGGATGGTATTCAGCAGCAAAACTGAAGGTACAAAAGCTACTTGACTCAGTATATGGCACAAGAAGCGCGTCATGGTATCCTGTGAGCTTGCAACATGTCAAGAGCCTGCTTGTTGGTGCCTGGGTACATGGTATAAACTAGAGGACTTAGTGGTGGTGCAGCTCACTCTGCTATCTCTGCTTCTGTTACTGACTTGAGAATGTTGGCTACTCTTTCTGCAGAGGATCTTTGCGTCTGCTTTCATTTCTAAGGAATCCAGTGTGTATGTACTGTGGTTGCTCCAGAACACAAGGCAAACAATGGTATGGGGATATTTGAAAAGGACAGCCCTGGCTTTAGACAGACATGCTAATATAAACATGTGCAAAGGTAAGATATTTCATGGACCTTTCGTAGGCTATCACGTGGATCTTTCATGGATCTTTCGTAGCATATCACTATCTTGGAAGTTATGCCCTAAATGCTTATGCCACCAAGGTTAGTTAATTTATTCCGTGATAAGGTGGTAAATGAGCAGCTGGTTGGCTCCTCTTAGGTTCCAGAGATAGTTATTCACCTTTGTTTCTTCTGTGATGCATACAAAAAGGCACAAGAGGGGTTGGTGTAATTGGCTGAACTATGTGTCTCCTAAAAAAACACTGAATGAAATTATTGGCATTTTATAGGATAGAAGGAGGCACCTGCTTATCTATTGTATTTGTATTATGTAATCAAATAGATATAAAGGTGGGTGACTTGTTACTTCACCACAGTGCATTTTGTAACCCTGTAATACAGTTTGGCTAATTTCTTGTAGAGCAGTGGAGGGAACAGGTTTTATTGTATTGTCAATTCCTGCCTGATGAAATTTACATCTTGATTACACAGGTGTTATTAAAATAAAATAGTTAATTTAAATATTAAAATGAAATTAAAAAGTCTGACTTGCACCTCAAGCTTCAGTTTGGTTCCTTTGGTCAAATACCAAAACAAGGCAGCTGTTTTGCCGTGAAGTAGAAAGTCTGACTAAATAAGTCGCCGATTTGAGCAAATGTTAGTTTGAGAAGTGTTTCATGTGTATTGAATGAGTTTTAGAAGAGAAGATTTTAGGCAATCTGAAAGCAACACCTACTTAATTCTGTATTGTAATTCACTGGTAGGACACCTTGTGAAAGCTAGTTGACACATTGACAAGTTACTTTATTGGCAGTACCTTATTACTTGGCATATAATATTACTTATGGTTTTTCTTTCTTCTCCCATGTATTATATCTGATGAATAAATGCTTATCAATTAAAAAGTGGGTGGAGTTAGGGCGGGACAGGGTTTAGAAATTACATTATCATTGAGAGCTTCTGTGGTGTCAGGCTTCAGAGGGCAGCAGCCTTCTCCTAAAGGCAGCTTGGGCTCTTAGAATGTTCACGTTTTCTTTGTCTCTTGGAGCTTGCTGGATTCTCCACTACAGATGATCTCATATTGTCAGGAAGGCAGCAGGTTGGCATTTTGAAGGGGCAAACATGGAAGAAAATACAGAGGGCCACGGTTTTGCAGAGGGCAAGATTTTGTTTATCTGGACAATTTTGTTTGTGGCGTTAGTTTTGTTGCCTTCAGTATTTCGAGTGTCACTGGGGATTGCTCATTTCTATGTGAAAATTCTAATAACAATGTTTGAGGTAAGTTGAGAATTGGGTTTAAAAGTTGTATGTTTGCCTCAGGACATGTTTAATAAAAAACCAAAAATCTGTACATTTGACATGGATGCCATAAAAGTCAGCAGAAAGAATTCCATTAATTTGGATGTTTTGTTTGCAGCTTTAACTTACAGGATGGTTCTTTGAATGGTGTCTTTAATCTAGTTATGCACCAGGTTATAACAAGTACTTTTCATTTTGCATCAGGCTATAGCATGTACCAGTTTGAAGTCTGCTTGGGTCAAGCAGAGATTCCATGTTATATTGGTTCTAGATAAAGCTGGCTAGAATACTTCATGACAAGTCAAATATAAATAAAAAGATGTATTAGTTTATGAGGATTGGTAATAAGAATATGTATTTTAGATGTAGATAAGTTTCAGTGTTTTTTGGGGTTATTTTAATGACATGGTATTAATGAATACTGTTGTAGGTAAGAATTCTAATTTTGTGTGTTTGCTTCTTCCAGTTAAAATCTGAGGCATCCAGCAGTCACAAGTTCTGCTGGTGATACTTGAGGAATCAATGCAGCCTTCTAAAACTGTAATTTTTCTAGAGATGAACAGGTCATGGCTAAGATCCTGATTCTGCTGATATCAGTAGAAGTGTTTTGGAGCTTTTACTAAGCCAGAACTACATTTAATTTTTGAAGTCTCACTTTTCATATCCATCAGTGGCCAAAAGTAGATGTTGTGAATTCGTCATATTGAACAGTGTTATATTTCCATTTTCCAGTTGATTAATATTGTCTTTTTTTGGCATAAACCTTCTTTTTGTGAATATACTTTCTGTTTTGTGGCAGAAAACATATTGCTAGTATTGTCACTATTATTAAGCTGTTTGAGCCATTCATTTGTGCAGTACAGCATGTCTGTAACAATGTGATATATTTAATATGATTGTCTTACCTTGCCAATTCTGTCTTATTTCTGTTTTATAATTATTCTCTCTCTCTCTCAATACCGATTAATTTAGCATAGTGTACCTGACAGTTAACTTGCGGGGTTACTTTTTTTCTGATACTGAAATGGGAAATGGGTCCCTGCAGTGGCTATATGTAATATCGGCTTTTATATGTAATTTTTTTTTGTGTTTTAGATCAGCCAGTGTTATGCTGATTACGTTCTTGTTGGTGCCCTGATTAAGAGGCTTGTGGCATTTAGAATTGATTTCATCAGGCGCTCTCATATCAAACACAAACCTGAGGTGTTGCTGGACAGCTTTGCTGCTGCAGTTGGCAGGCATGAAAATCATTCCTGTATTTTTGTTCCTCCTGTGTATTTTCCAGCTTTGAAGGACTTGTGACCCACTCAGTGGTACTTTATGTAGGCAGGTACTTCTCTTTGGAAAAGCATGTTAAATGTTTTTCTTTCTGCAGTTTTTCTAACAAGGTATGAGCATGAAGACTTTGTGTTCACACTGTGGAGGATTAATTTATCAAAAAAAAGAAGTAATTAAGCTGTTGCATAGTCACCTGAGATCTTGCTAATGAGGTAATGCACAAAGACCATCTTTGGTTCCTGTCGTTAGCCTAAATGGTGAAATAAGATGCCTTACTGGACAGCTAGCTCAAAATGCTAACACGGATGCTTAGTCATGTGTTAACACACTACTTACTATATTGCAGGAATGTCAGTGTTCTAGGAAGTACCAAACAACTGTTTGATGTTCCATCGATAATCCATCCTTGAGCACTATGTCAGATTCTCCATTTCATTGCAGTTATTTTAGTCCATTATGTAGACTAAAAAAATTAGTACCAAAGTTCTTACCTTACATTTTTTATTTGCTTCTTAGAGCTATAAATGACTATGCAAAATAGGAGGCAGAGGGAAAACATGTTTTATTTTCCTCATGTTTTGTCAATTTGAAAAATATGAGAGTAGAGGCTGAAATCAAGTATTTTTAAAATCAAAAGATATTTTTTCCAAACCTGTGTTTTCAAGGGAAGCATAGCTGTAGCCCTTTCGGAATTTGCTACGAGCTCCATGTGTTTTAGGATAAAGTCCAAGTTTGCAGATGTATTACTAAGCAATGAGTAATGGTGGCATATGATAAGTAATTTTGATTTCCTGACTTCACAGAAGTGTTTTAGCAGTGTGAACAGTGACTGGAGCAAACACTGGGTAATCTATGTATAGTAATGTTGTAGTGATAGAACAAGGAGTAATAGGTTTAAACCTAAACAGGGGAAGTTCAGGTTAGATATAAGGAAGAAGTTCTTTACTGTGAGGGTGGTGAGGCACTGGAATGGGTTGCCCAGGGAAGCTGTGAATGCTCCACCCCTGGCAGTGTTCAAGGCCAGGTTGGACAGAGCCTTGGGCGACATGGTCTAGTGTGAGGTGTCCCTGTCCATGGCAGGAGGGTTGGAACTGGATGATCTTAAGGTTCCATCGGGGAATCTAGATATCTTTTTGTTTTGTTTTGTTTGTTTGTTTTTGTTTTGGTTTCTTGTTGTTTTTTTTCTTAAGAGCAAACCAATTTTTTTACAAAAGCAAGACCTAAGGTTTGGAAAATTGGGGGGTGGTTGTTTTTATTTGTGGGGTTTTAGGTTTTGTGAGGCTTTTGTGTTTGTCGTGGGTTTTTTTTTTTCATGTTGTGGCTTTTGGGGGGCTTATTTTTCAGGTTATATGGATGGTATGATAGTAGAAGATCTCCAAGACAGTAATTTCTCAATTTAATAATTGCTAGCTCATAATTACTATTATTACCCTTCCTTTATCCATTACATATTTCTGGAAATGATAACAAAGAATTTAGTTTGTTTTCTTATAGGGTTATTCTTTCCTATATGATTGTAAGCTTTTATTGTGAAATAATGTGTTTTCTCTAAGCTTTTATTTGCTTGTCCGTAATGAGGTTTGGTGGAAATGACACTACTAGCAAAACTGTGCTAGGAACATGATTCCAGCCCTTTAGCACTGCAGCTGCAAAGGAAAATATGTTTATTAGGATGAAATCTACACCATGATCTTTTAGTCCTGTGGAGAGTCAAATGCACATGTTGAACAGCTGTAGCTCCACGTGCCCAGAATCTTCTGAAATTTCATGGGATCTGAGCTTCTGTAGGCAGTTGGAGTATTGTTGTTCCGTGAGAAATACGCACATGTAGGAAAGACATCAGCCAACTAATAATTGTGGATTTTCTTTGAGCTGATAGCTCACTTGTACACTGAGGTAGCTAATATGCTGTAAACTCCCATTGCAGCATGGGCACATGTTGCAGACATCTAAGCTAGTGGAAGAAACTCACTGCTGTGCTTTCAAATACATGGTTATCCTGAGCTAGCCAGTGCATCACAACCATCTCAAACAAATGTTTGGGACCCTTCTCAACCTGTTTCATTTCCCTCACTAGAATGGCCAGGAGATTTGTCAGTGCTTTTCACTCTTTGATTGTGGACAGACACTGCTTGCACTTCCTCTCATACATTCAGTATCATACAGAGATCATTTGATCTGGGTTCTCATCTGGGACCTGAGAGGAGAAATGACACCAGGCACAAAAGACTGTTGGATGAAAAGCTCCTAAGTGCTTGATCTTAGGTGGTGATTTTTACTGACTTTCTGTTTGTATAGGAAGACTTTAAATGGAGTAATTGCCCCAAGGCCTTTGTCACACATGAGAACAAAGCCAAGAAAAGGATTGAAAAATGCCAGTGTAATGAGTGATTAGAAAAAACCTCTGTGAGAAGAGAGAGAAGAGGCAGTAGAATGTGGGATGTAGAAGAAGAGAGGCAAAAAAGAATTATTATATAGTATGGAAAAATGGAATACCAAACAACACACTGAACTGTACTTAAAAGGAAAATGGGAGGAAAAAACAAATGCTATTTTAAAAAATGAACATTCCATATTGTACAGTTTTTCATGTCATGTCCTATGAAGAAAATAGTTTAATGAAGTATTTGGCACCCTTATTTTGTTCAGAACTTAATTACAGGAAGCCTCAAACAAATGGACTGTTCAAATTAAGCTGCCAAGGCTTCACAGTTTCAGCTGGCATCACTCATTGGATATTTGGACTTCTTGTGTCCTTATCACTTCAGAAATGGGAAGGAGAAAAGCACAGCACCTGAGTTCTCATTCGGTCAGCAAACTTAGGAAATTAAGTTGCTCTATTTAATGCTTAAATTCTGTGTTAGTTGCAACATCTCTGTTTTTGTAAGGTATTTAAAACATCCTTTCATTACTGTTTTGCAACAAAGACCAGCATGACAGCTGTGTCTCAATACTGTGCAAAACAAAGGTGATCACAAAGCCTTATTTCATTTTTAAAAACAAATTGAACATACAGATGCTACCAAATGCAGAACAGCATAGAAGCTGCTCTGCCGGGTCAGTGCGGAGTTTGACCCAGATGGGCAGCCTGGCTTTGACAGGCGTCAACTCAATTGCTTGATGAAAAGCCTAAGAGCTGCATGATTGTACAGTCCTATTGCCAGGAATGCCCTCCCAGCTGCTTGTTACTTCAGCCGCCAGTGCCAGTTCATGGATTTGGAGAGTTTTGTGTCCCGTGATGATTTTCATCTGAGTTTTTATGTAACTCTTCCCATTTCAGGTGATCTCTGGCAATATGTCCTGGACAATGCGCTCCATAACTTGTGTTTTGTGGAAAGATAGTACCTTTTTCTTGCTTATATATTCTGCCCAACACTTTCCTATGGTGCTCCCCAGTTCTTGTACTAGAAGAGAAAATGTTAACTGCTCCTTATGCACCTGCTTTGTGCCAGTCCAGATTTGCAGACTTTTGTTATATGCTGTCTTAGCCAGCTCTCCTCCAAGCAAACAAGCTTTGTGTAAGCATTCACCTGTTGAAAGCTCTTATCTACTTTGTCCTCTGCTTGGCTGACTATTTAATTATACACTGGCACTTTTGTCCCAGTTTCTCTGTGCTACAAAGCAGGAGCTTTTATTTGTGAACTTTATAAATTTTTGTTGGTTTTGACTTGTCTTGCTCATTTGAATTAGTTAGAATACATTTGGTGAGTCAGCAGTCAGTGATTATCACCCTTTTCTACCTGGGATTCAAAAGCCAGCCTCCTTGATGTATTCCAAATTGTTTGAGACAGTATGAACAAATTAATTTCTGGAGGTACTTGCCAACTGGCAGGTGCATAATCATGTAGGAGGACCCTGATGAGCAAGATAAGAGTGGTAGACAAGGGAACGCAAAGTAGAGAGTAAGGCAAAAGGCTTTATTTGTCAACCTAGATGATTTTTATTTTATTCCTCCCTCATGTCATACAACTCTCCTAGAGGATATTGGGAAAGGGTTGAGGGACAACAGTGCATTATAAAGAGGTTAGGTTTGCCTCATGTCTGCCTTTACTCTCTTTTGCAACATTCTTGTTCCTCTGCCATATATTCTTTCTTATCTCAGTGTGTGGGCTGCTGTTTTCATGACATCTTCTGACTCCCCAGTTCTGAATGACTCTCCATGTGTTGCAAAATACTGAGAGATGGCATATGGTTTGCCTTTCCTAGGGAACAGTTGGAAACTATAGACAAGGCGAAGATCTGTGGTGTTTGTTTGGTGGTGGGGTTTTTTGTGTTGTTTTCAATATGGTGCTGTAGTAGATAGTTTGCATGAAGCTTAAAATACCACATCACTACCTATTCTGCTTACTCTTTTTTTTTAATTTTCTTTTAAAATGGCAGGTAAAAAAAAAGTCAGCTAAGGGTAACGGTAATATCTTATTTATGCCATGATAAAATATCCGTTTTTATTACTGACTTAAACTTCAATAGCTACAGAAGGAGATGGTAGAAAGCATGTGAAACCTAATGATGGCAAAAAAGCTAGTTGGTGTTAGCATATGCAGCATGTTGTAATGTGGTGATGACTATTTGAGGTCAAGCTTCATGGTAACTTCAGTGGCTGCGCATGTCAGTAAGAGCGAATAAACTGTTTAGCAAGAGTTTATCCTGAAACAAACAGATATGTCCTTATCTGTTGTAGGTGGGAAGCCTTAATAGCAGGAATACAGGAATATCTAGTACTCATGAGAGCTACTATTTATGTCTATATAATTATGATGAAAATATTCCAAACTATGAAAACTTCAAAAATTAGTCATATTGGTATATTTGATTTTGCTAATGGAGGAGTTTTATGCTACTCTCCACAGGGAGGAGAAACTTGTTTTAACTCAGAAAGGTAAAAGACAGGGAAAGGTGAAAGCTACTTCAGAAATGCTATGGATACGAAATGCTCTCCTCTGTTTTCTGTTAACAGAAACTGCATGAATGCCCTAAAACTGAGGTAATCTTCTTTTATTATTCAAAGTTATTTTTTAAATCTATTTTTTCCGGCATGTCTGTAATGTCAGTGATAGCATTTCTCATCATTCTGTTGCCCGAAGGTAACTGGGGAAAAGAGAGGTTTGGACCCAAGGATCTCACAGAGTCTCTTAGGTAGCTCAGTAATTTGTGGGGCCCAGGGAAAAAAACCTACCTGCTTGTGCTACACCATTTTTCCTGCAAATGGCAAAATCTATGTAACAAATGAAAAGGAGTCATGCAGGGTAGTCTGTGCTGAAAATCTAAGAACTGGCTTCAATAAAAGAGGCTCAGACAATTCACCTAAGGTAATTATAGAATGTCTGGAAATAATGAAATGAAAACCATCAACATCTGCCTTTCTTGTTTTGGGAACAGTGGGCCACCCTGCAGATCGAGGAGGGAGTAAAAAAGCAGAAGGCGATGGCACTTGAAAATTTAATCTCCACTGGTAAGATCTCTGACTGAAGGTGACACAGCACTATTCATCTTGTTCAAAGGAAACTATTTTAAAATCTTACCTAGAAAAGAGTAAACAGGAATATAAATATGCATCTGATGTTTTTTAAGTAAGAAAACTGGAATGGTGAAAATAGAGTTTGATGGGCAAATAACTTCCGAAGTAACAAACCTACAAAAGAGATTTTAAGTACATTATAAGCAAGGTAATTGGTGAATGGGTGAGTCTTCTGACTAAAAGTGTTACAGACTAGTGTAGGTATAGAAAGATGTTACTGATAAGCATTTGAGAAGCTGTCCTTGTTCTCATGAGTATTTAGTACTTGACTCAATCAGCTCGCTCTCTCTCTACAACATTAGGAGGAATGAGTATTCTTTGCCTTTGATGTTGGTGTGTATGGATTCTCTCATGCTTCTTGTAACTTCTAGCATGCAAAAAGGTGGGGTCTGTCAAGTAAAGAAGCTAACCATCCCACAGATCAGTTACAATTTGCATCCTTCTCTAGGCATGGGAATAAAGTCTGAGAGAGTAGTAATTTTTTTCTTCCTAACTACTTTTCCTTTCTTCTTTGACCAAAGGGGACTGGGCTAAGTTCTCATAGTGATCCTTTTACTTGTAGTGCCATGTTTAGTCATGTAGGCTGCTTGGGTTCTCAGCTAGTGAACTTAGGTCTGATGATTTCTTGGACATTGAAGGTTTGACTGAAGTGCAGCCGGATGAAAGTTTATGATTGTGATGGGGGCTAGTATGTTAAGATAATTTAAATGTACACAATGCTTCTACGTTACACAATGTGTAACTCGGGGCGGGGGGGGGAATCTAGACACTTAGAAGTTTCTTTATAGTGAAGTGACTCTAAAGGAAAAAGGGTTGGGGGAGAGAGAAAAACATCAGAGGAAGGTGTTTGCAACAACTGGGAAAAAAAGTAAAACTAAATAGCAGCAATAACAACAACTATACAAACACTGCCTGGAGCTGAGTCAAGGCACCAGGAGGACTCTGCAGTCTTGGCAGTACACTGTTGCCATTTCTAGGTGTGTACATACATGTTGTAGGTACTGTGGCCAAGGTTTTATTTGAAGCTTGCTCTGAATGCTCTTTGCCTTTCTTCAATCATTTAGTGGTATTATATGGCCTGGCATTAGAGAAGTGACTTCTGGGATTAAATGCCAGTACATAAATGAGACATAATGATGAAATTATAGTGCTTGGAGTAGGAGGAGAGCTATTTCTAAAAAGCACATGTATTTTACTCTCTTTGGAATCCATACTGTCCATTCCACTGTGTCAAAGGAAGACTCATTTCTTCATGCAGGGATCATCCAGAGAGAGAAAACCTCCATGGAAGAGGAGCTTGCTGGCCAGCGTGGAGGGTGCTTCAACCTTGCTGATGTTATATACTTCTTCAAGAAGGGGTGTGAGGCAATTGCAGAAGATGAAGTCACCCAGCGGTTCTCCTCTGAGGAACTGGTGTCCTGGAATCTCCTCAGCAGAACCAATGCTAACTTGCACCATGTCAGCTGGCAGCTGACTGTTGTGTGGGTCATTGGGATCTTAATTCGGTATTGCCTCCTGATGCCCTTTCGGTAAGCCAGATGTAATTCGCTGGGATCTGTTTTTCATGTTGCTTTTTACAAAAGATGTGAAATAATACACTATTGACTAGTGCAGAATGAAGAACCTGGCAGGACTTTATTTTCCAAGACGCCATCAAAACTCAAATATCCCTAAAAGAAAAAAAGGTGATGAAGATGCACATTTCTCATGTTCAGGATGTTAGTAATTAATTTGGTTTTAAAATCCTGATATGCATAGAAATGATCTGGAGATCTTTTTGTTATGTAAAGGAACAACTGTTTCTGCTGAAAGGATCAGTCTCTGTATGCTGAACACTTGGGATGTGAAACAAAGGCAATGTTCAGGAAGCACAGGGCTGGATGGAGAGACATCTATATAGAATGTATTAGATTTTCAAACTTTTAAAATTGTCTATTAAGCAAAACCCAGCCTTTATCGTATTGACCCAACGGTTACAAGAATCACAGTTAAAAAAATTCATCTGTTCTTGTGAAGAGCAAGTGCTTTTAAAATGTCTTATTCCTTTGGAAGGACGGAATGTTTAAATCATACCAGTCAATCACATAGCAGAGCACGTATCCTGCTTCCATTTACATATGCAGCTTAAAAAGACAACATTTATGTAGAAATGGCTTCAATATTGGGTTTGCTCAGTCATTAGTAATCAATGTTATTTAATTTTTGTGATTATATAGTACCTTACTGCTTGGAGTGGAAGCATGTTCTGAAATTTCTGGATAGGTTTAAAAAATTGAAATGAACCGTGCCTTTTGGCACAGAGAAATCTTATCTGCATTAAAGAACACCAGCCACTACTCACCATCCTCTTTGAACACGATGGCTTCTTTACCACATGAGAGCTTCAGATCAGGGTGTGATGCTTTTTGGAAGATAGACTGCAGGCAGCATGAGGTTTTGTGTACTCAGTGCGGAATTAATTGCAGGAAAACATATGCTCGTATTATCCTGTTGGCCTTAGCTGCTTTTTATTGCTATTTAGATGGTATTAGTGACAGAAGGAAGCATTGTGAAATGGATCAAAGGGTTAAAGAACATATTTTCTTGATTGCTCTTCCAATTTTCCTTCTTGGCATTTAATTAAGATTATTTTCCTTTGTAGCATCTGCTTGGCTGTTTTCACCATCCTCTTGCTAATATCAGCCACTACAGTAGTAGGACAGTTTCCTAATGGGAGGTAGGTATTTTCTGAGGGCTCTTTCCATTCCTTTTTTATTTCTTTAAAGATTTTGATTACTGTGTTGAAATTTAAATCTGCTTGAGTCCAGAGGATTAATGTGGACAATCATGGGGTGACTTTTTCTCCACTGTAAACTCATAGAGCACTACCAGAGAGAGTATGGCAATGGCATCTGGAAGTGGACATGCAATGGAAGCCAGATAGATACTGCTGGAAGCATGTCTTAGAGTGGAAAACAGAGTATGCTCTACTTGAGTCATAATAGGGCAAGTAAATCATCTGTCCTGAGCAATTCTGTATTAGTCCTATGAGATTGTTATGTCCTGTCAGTGCAAAAAATGCATATGTGATTCATCAGCTAAATATTTTTCTATTAAAGTAATGTTAATGAATGAGTCAATAGTGGTTATTTCCAAAGAAAATCTATAAAACAAACTCCTGACTATTATCTTCTCTGCTTCGAATCTTGTGCGCTTTGAATAGATTACAGTAGAAGACTGGAACAAGAATATCTTTGATACCTGATAAGCTTCTCTTGCATGGCATTGTTAGTGCAGTGAATCTTAGTATGGTCTTTCTAATCACAGCTATTGGGAATAATTTGGGGAGTTTACATTATAATGTTCTGTGAATGACTACATAGATGTGGAAATGTATGTTCATTTCATTTCTTTCAGAGTTAAACACTGGCTGGCCAACCAGGTTCAGATGATATGTGCCACATTAGGTATCCGATGCCTGAGTGGACTTGTTCATTTCCACAACAGGTGAGTGGTGCCACCCTCCTCTTGTTGGGTGGGTATTGATTTCTGACAGTACTCAATGTCTCAAGTTGCAGAGTGGGATTCTTATTCCATTACTGCACAGATGCTCTGAAGGTACAACTTGATCCAAGAAACTGTGGATCATCAAGACTCTGTCAAGGTGTTTGCATGCACTACTGTGTTTTCTGTTGTGTGTTGGCAGAGTATGTGAAGGTGAAGTAGTACTATGTTCTCAATTAAACATACACTTAGACATTTTTCTCAATGCTTGCCATCCATGCGTTATAATCACATGCAAGAACATCATCATATTCAGGTGTCCTATCAGACAATTTTTTTGGTAACTAGTTCTTCATGCTTCTCCTAAAGTGGGTTATGGATGGTATTTCAGGAAGTTTTTGTAATATCTTGCTTGCTTAGTGATGGAGCTTTATGTAATGGGGGCTTCTGAAGTATTTTTTTGTTTATGCTTTAGAAAGCAAGAAAAAACATGCTCTAGTGTCTTTGCTTTTAGAGTTTTAGTGTCCAGCTATTCTTTGATATATGCCTCTGAGTGTTAATTTATGCACCTAAAATGCCTATACAAATGAAGTCTTGTATCCTCAGCTAAAAGGAAACTGGTTTTGGTGAAATACCAAAACTACTGAAATATGAAAGGACCCTTGAAAGTACAAGGAAAAATGATTTATCTGCTGTAATGAACTCCCAGAAGTTTTAGTATGTATTATACTAATGTTTAGTATTTTAAAATGTTTTTGTCCTTCTACTTCCTATGGATCTGCAGATAGGCTGTATGCATGAAATACTTTTGTCAGTGAGAGTCTCAGTTGTGGATGTACGCTCACTGGATGGGTCACCTAATAGGTGTAGCCTGTAGTCTGCAGAATAAACATTAAGTAATTACTTTTGTGGCTGTCACTGCAGAGAAAACCGACCACAGGAAGGTGGCATCTGTGTAGCCAACCACACATCTCCATTAGATGTTCTAATCCTGGCCAGTGATGGATGCTATTCCCTGGTACGAACAAGAGAGTTGGTAAATATTGGTAATGTTGGTATGCCCTTAGATGTAGTGTTGGGTAAGAGGATAAACCTACTGGTGGAAAGAGTCGGATTTGATAGCATTCAAACTAGCATTCTGGGCTACAAAATAATAGACACAGGCAAGTGCGTGAACACTTTTGAGCAAAAAGATTGGTATAATTTGTGAATGAGCTTAGAAACTGATGCATTTGTGTTCAGAATTTTATCATTTATGTGTAGTAGTTATGCATAGTAACCAGTTCCTTTTGGGCTTGCAGGTTGGCCAGACACATGGAGGGTTTTTGGGACTTATTCAAAAATCTTGCATGCAAGCCACTCAGCATGTTTTGTTTGAACGCTCAGAAATGAAAGACCGTCATCTGGTGAGGAAAAAGTAAGGTAGTGAGGTGTTGCTTGTTTGCTTAATTGTCCTGTCAGGCCTCTTAATGGTGAGGTCCAAGCTTGAGGCTGTTTTCATCCTGCTTCTCCTTTTGGTGGGCAGCTGTAGGTTGTCATCAGTGTAAGGTTTGGAACTGTGCCATCAATGAAGGTGCAGGGTGTAGCAAGGATCTGCTGAACTTCTGATTGCTTGCCCCGTAACCTTTGGGAATTTCCACATTGCCACAGTTGCCTTGTCTGCCACAGGCAGGATTGAGGAATGTCAGGACAGAAATGGGAATTCTGTCAGTACACCTGCTTCCCAGGTCATGCTACATTTTTCATCAGCTATGAACACTGAAGATGGTTATATCTCCTGTGAATAAAGGGTAAAAGGAGGCTGACTGTAGCAAAAAAAAACCCAAACCAAACAAAACCCAGGAGGCTGGTGCTACCATCTCACTGCTAGAAGCTGGAAGACCACCCTGGAAAAGTGTAGTCTGTTTAGTGCTTATACTGCTATCCAGGCCTGAAATACTGATTCTTGGCAGAGACAGCTTGTTGGACTTTAAGGACATGAACAGGATTGACAGCATGGCAATTCTTACATTCTCAGGTGCTCACAGAGACTGTTCTTAGACATCCTAAATCTTCATGCAGTAGAGTGCAATGCAGCCAACGTTAAGTAAATGTCTGTGACAGTTTGTCCTTAGAAAAATGGAGAGGGTCCCCAGATGCTTTTTTTCTTTTTGATATCTGATGTTTTGGTTTTGTTCTTTAATGCAGATTGGAGGAGAACTGCATGCTCTTGAGTCATAGGAGAAAAGACAGGAAAATGACAGATTTTGTATGTCAGTAACCTGCTTAGGGGTAATAGGGTTTTAAGTGATGCAGAAAATATGGGAAAATAGTGGCATATTTCCGCTATGTGCAGAGAATCATTAGATACATACAAAATGTGAAATATGGCATATATGTCAGTCCAAAGAAGAATTTGACTGTGTTCATAGCTGAAACCTGTCAAAGATAAGGAAGTGATTTTTACATGATTCAAGTACCACCATTCTCTGGCTTCATGATAACTGGGTTAAAATGGTAGTTTTGTAAAAAACCTGTGTTTGCAGTTAGCAAGAGAGAACCTTGAGATAAAGACTTGAAACTAACGTATATCTTGGCTGAGGCTAGGGTAGCAAAGAGCAATTGGGCAAGGCTTTTCTTGTCCTAAGTAAGAGGTAATGGGTGTTTAGGTTCTTGGCCAAATAAAAATATGAAGTGTACACTGAGATTTTATTTTCTCTCCACAGAATTAGAGAACACATTGCAGATAAGGCCAAATTACCCATTTTAATTTTCCCAGAAGGTAGGAAACAACTATATTGATTTTATTGCTCTTCTTACTTTTTGCCACTGAGTGCAGTTTATTATACCCAGTCTTTATAAGTGAGGTGTTTAGTTGGTTTTAGTCTGTAGAATTAATTAGCTCTTGTGAGATATTAGAAGTCAGATTCTATTACTTTACAACAGCTTTTTGACAGTCTATTTTCTTTAGTTTATAGTATGGAAGAGAGAATAGGCCCTGGGATTATGTTTCAGAACTAAAGCTTATTTCTCCTCTAGCAACTTAGGTCTCCGTGAGGACAGCTTTTAGGATTCATTCGCTGATACTATTCTTTGAGTAGATTCAACTTTTAATCTGTTTTAATTCTGGCCAGGTACCTGCATAAACAACACATCAGTAATGATGTTTAAGAAGGGAAGCTTTGAGGTAGGAGGAACCATCCATCCGGTAGCAATCAAGGTAACGTATCTGCAGTTTTCCAAACATGGCAGGACTATTAGCAGAAGCTTCTCATGTCAGAGAAGCTGTTCATGTGTAAACCTTAAAAAGGGGTTGTTCTGTGTGAATAAGGTACTGAATAAGCCCTGAGAAAACAGACTCTTTTCATTTGAGCAGTGTCTTGCAGTTCAGTACAGTATGGAAAATGTTTTGCTGAGTGTCTTTACAGCTGGCTAGGAGGAACCTGAAAAGCACAGTTGCAATTGCTGTGCTGCATGTTCAGCTCAGCCTGTTCTTTCTGTCCTAGAGCTTCTTGGTCTTGTGTGCTTTGGGTATGAAGACTCTTTTCTTGGCACTTCCAAAGCTTTCTGAGTAAACCTAGCTCTAGATACCTTAGTTGCTTTTTCTGCAACTGTAATGTTGCGTTTCTTATGGAAATTCTCATGGAAATTGTTAAAACCGGTGTGAGCATTACCAAGGAAACCTTTGTATTCAACATATCTGTAGATAACAAGTCTTTACATTTTTAATAGATCTGTTGAGATTTTTTCAGTGTGTCTGTCACAGTTTGTGGTCTGTGCTGCTTGTGGAGGTCAACTTAAAAACTTGTAATGAATCCTGAAATGTGGATTTGAATTTACTGCTGCTTTTTGGAGGTGTTATTTGCCCCTAATTTAACAAGTTGAAGTGTTACTTTGTGGCCAAAAAAAAGCAGCTTATGTGATTTAAACTAAGGTAGCAGATCATGCCCTTTTGCTTATTCTTGTTTTTCAGTATGACCCCCGCTTTGGAGATGCATTCTGGAACAGCACAAAGCATTCCATGATGACCTATATTTTTAATATGCTTACCAGCTGGGCTATTGTCTGTAATGTGTGGTACCTGCCACCAATGGTCAAAGAGGTACTTACGTTGTCACATGCTTTGAAAATGCTCATAAAATGTTGTCTGGGGGGAAGTCTGCATTACTACGCATGGTGTGTTGGCATTATGTTTGCAAGCCTTTATTGACGGCTTAATGGATAAAGGCCAGAAAGCAACACTGTGGTCTGAAAATTAAGTGAGCACAGATTTATTTGGGTTAATTATCTTCAAGTAAAAATTACTCTTGTAGGTATTCAGACATTTCTGCATCATGCTCCCTATTGCTCCCAAACAGCATCTTTACTTGGGTGCAGCTGCCTTGCTTTCCTCTGCTTGCAGAGACTAAAAGAGATGTTCAAATGTGGTTTTATGCTGCAGGAGTAGTCCCCCTCAGCCTGGCACAGACCTCCCTTTTTTACTCCACAAGTAACACATAGATTCAGGCCTTCTCCTCACTCCATACGGGGGTGCTTTTGCCATGTCTCCCCACACTACCTTCATCTGCACAGCTTCCTTTTACTTCCTTGTTTCTCAGCCCTGCAGAATACCCAGCTTATCTTTTGCCAGCAGCTTTACCCCACAGCTGAAGTACTGGGAGCAGATGTATTTCCAGTTCTGGACAGACCTATGACCTCATGCTGTGTATTGTTTGAGACTGCCCCAGAAAACAGAGCCTTAGTTCTTTTTGGCATCAAATGGTAGCAAAGCAGGCAGTTTTCCCTAGGACCATCTGGAACTGCCCTGCAGGTCACATTTGGCTTGAGGGCCTGGCATGAGCCCAAGTGCCTGCTGTCTAACAAGAAGTATCCTTATAAGTAAGACACACAGGAAATGTTTCAGTTGCAAAGCAAGTAATTCATTCTTTGTCAGGAAGAAGAAGATGCTGTTCGCTTTGCCAACAGAGTCAAGGCTGTCATTGCTGCTCGAGCAGGAATGTCTGTTCTTCCTTGGTAAGAAGCAACACCTTTGAGGTTGGGTTTAAAGCATTTTTAGGTGTTCTGAAATGTTAGCTTGGAATCCTTTAAAAATTCTTCCAAATTTGCTTTGCTTGCACTTTAGTCCATCATCCTTCATGACTTTGAATCAGAAAATACTACTTTATTCCTTGAGCAATTTCACTAGGATAAATAGAATAATAAAGTATAAAAAGAGAAATGGATCTGACAGGTGAATGTAGCCGGGAGGTAGTATTTGGTGAAAAGAAATTATTTGCTTGTTAAATATGAGGTTAAAGGCAAGGCATTGCTTGTGTTGTGTACATCTTTACAGTACAAATCATTTAGCATTGTATTGCAAAAGCCAACATTTGGGGTGAAAACTGCTTTGACTATGTAGTCTAAATAGTGTAATGTTTTTCTGCCTTTTTCACCCTGAAGTGAGCTCAAGGCTGTTTCTTTTCTGTATCTTTCAGGGATGGGGGACTGAAAAGGAAAAAGGTCAAAGAGTCTTTCAAGGAAGAGCAACAGAAAAAATACTGCCAGTTGGTAATAGAAAATGGATCTGTGGGAAATGGAAATGTTTGTTAAATGGTATTTATTTTATCTCATTTCTTAAATTACTTAATCTCTACCAGAAAATGGGCTATTTTTTACATTAAACCTGACATGTTCTCTTTCTGTCCCTGTAAGATACTTTGCAAATGACACAGCAGGGAAACCATAAAGAGCTAATATTTTGTATTAAACAAAGATATCATTTATGTAAGTAGGAAGATTTACAGTATATTAGTAAAATTCTCACTGATGTTGAATGAGAAGAGTCTGGAATAAATTATGAGATTCATTAAACTACCTTTTTTAAATCTTTGCATTACACTGAAGGCTTAAACAGTAACTTCTGAAGTTGTAATAAACCACTTCTATGCCTGGATTGGTGGTTTTCCTGTGAGCCACAGTCAGTGTTGTGCTGTAGAGGCAGCTCTCCTGATTTTAGAAGATATTAGGACATCAAGCAGTTCACCAAAATATGTTTTCCAAATTACAAGTTGAAAAGAAGTGTTGGATGTCAAAGGGAAAGAGGCAGTCACTGACTTCACCCTCCATGTCACAGGGATGGAAGCTGGGGTGGAACTGGTGGTTGCCTACGACAGTGGACAGGATGTGTTAGAGAGACCCTCCCACACAGGAGGTTCAAGAAGGACCCCCTTGCTTTCCAGCTGATCCTCAGATACCAGAGGTGCATCTGGATTCAATCCTAGTCAATGGCTTATGTCTAAAAGGATTGTGTAGTGCTTGCACCTCCATGTCTAAATTTGTCCCGCATGCCAATCAGTTTTACTGTCATGTTGCAAGGGGGGTGTCCTCAAACCCTTTACATTTGACCAGCCTCACAGTTTCCTAAGAAAGTTGGGACTCTTGTGTCTGACTGGCCCATCCAGTGCCTCATTAAGGGGACCTCACTTTACAGCCCACCAAATTGGAGTGTGATTCAACCAACCTGTTCAGAGACGTGCACTGACAGCATCCCCCAGTTAAATCCCTTATTACAATTATTCAAGTCTCTGGAGACTCATACAAAAGGGACTTCAGCTGGAGATTTATACAAAACACAAGTTTGTGAGAAGATAAGGTTCAGAGATTGCTGGTGATAAGATACTGTCTGCAAAAACAAGCTTGAATTGATACACAACCAGACTATAATCGCTAGCTAGTGTGAGTTAGTCATTCAACACGCATAATATAAAGTTCTTGCCCAAGAGGTGTCCCTGTGGGGCAGAAGACAGGTTCAGCATGTCAACTGATCCCAGAGGTTACAATGGAGTCTTCTCCAGCTCCTCCCCTCTTCTATACATCTATACTTCACTTTCAGGTGGAGCTTGAGTGACTGTAGTCATCCATTCTTTTACTATTGATTGGTGTAAAATTCTCTCACTTTTAAAGATATAGCCAATGAAATATATAAAGTGTGTGCTCAGAGAGGGGTGGTCATACCTTGGAGGTGGGTAACTTTGGGGTGGAGGTGTGTGTTACTATTACAACAACATCATAATGAGCAAGGTTCACTTAAGGAAAGTGATTTTGCCATAGTTGCTGACTCAGCAACAGGCATCTCTTATATTTCCCTTTTGACAACTGTCACGTGGCTTATCAGCTGTGTGGTACCATCCAGGCAGGTTGTCTCACCTAGGGAACCATGGTGGAGCAGATTCTGTGCATGCCAAGCATCCTGAAAGGGGCAACTCTATTTCACCCAAAAAAGGTTTCTGTAATACTACAACTTCTGCCAGATCCCAGTTTTCTCTTATCCCTCCCCCCGCACTGATTTTCACACAGACTTTCCAGGGTCCCACTGACAAACAGCAGAACAGCATCCCTGATGCCTGTGTGTGTGACAGTGGGATAAACTAGTTGCAGCCAAGGACAATGTCATAGCAAAACACATCTTATCTTTTGTACTGTGTCTTCTTATTTTGCTGTATTCCTTACTGTGTCTGTTTGTATGCATCACACAAATTAAAGAAAACCTGTGACCTGACCTCTGTTATCCTCTGTTGTAATTATTTCTGGATAATTTGTGCCAAGTGATAGGCTTGGATGGAAGAGAATGAATATTTCAGTGGATCAGGCACTCAAAAAAACAAGCTGAAACTTAAAAAAAACCCAATCTGTCAGCGTAAGTAATGCTTTTGGGCTTATTTATTTATTTGTTTTCTAGCTGTGCAAGCTACACAGACAAGTTGCATCACCATCTTAGAGAAGCCTGTGGCTCTGTCTTCTTCAAGATGACAAACTACTGTTTACCACTTAACGTGTCTTCCTTTCAGATCCTTACCCAATGGGCCTTGCACTTTTAATTGACTGGGTGGCCTCTTCTCCAAAAGAAATATGAGGGCCTTCAGATATGGCTAATCAGTGTAGGGGAGACCTACACTGTAAAGCACAGCCTTGCTTTGTAACTTGGTGCTGCTTTCTGATACCTACATATGAATCATCTAAGTGATGTTAACTGTTGCTGGATTCCCTAATTCTCTTGACTCCAAATGTTTTTTTCTACAGCTATGTCTTATCTTTGGGAATGTCTGAAATGCTCTTCTCTCTCCAACTTCTGCTGACCTGCTTTACGTTATTGGCAGACCCATCTTTTTCTTGACTCGCTGTTTTTTAAGATGCGTTTCAGTAATTCTACATCCATGCAGGACGAGAAATGTGAGCAGCATGCCATCTAGTGGCACCTAGTTAGCGGTAGCGATCTCTCCCTTGCAGGGTTGCCTAATTCCGAGGAATTAATCTTTCATTTCTCCTACATTTCCAGGAAAACATGAAAACGTAGAAATAACTCCGTATATCCCAAACACAGGATCTTTGATTATCAGTCATGGTGTACCACCAGCAAAGCATGTGCTTGTTCTAAGTTTCAGCAGCCTGTGTTCTGTGCAGTTTCCCCAGGCTGCCTCTTCCCTATAGAATCATAGAATCGTTAGGGTTGGAAAGGACCTTAAGATCATCTAGTTCCAACCTCCCCTGCCGTGGGGCAGGGACACCTTATGCTAAATCATATCACCCAAGGCCTCATCCAACCTGGCCTTGAACACTGCCAGGGATGGAGCATTCAGAACCTCCCTGGGCAACCCATCCCAGTGCCTCACCACCCTAACAGGAAAGAATTTCCTTCTTATAGCCAACCTAAACTTCCCCTGTTTAAGTTTTAACCCAGTACCTTGACATTGTTCCTGACCAGGGGCTGGGGACACTGTCAGAAGAAAACATGTTTTTCAGGATAATGAGGCAGATGTTCTGAACTTATATTCTACCTACACAGATTTCCTTAAGCTGTAGTAAGAACAGTGAGCAGTTAGTGCTGAATTCCACAACCCAGCATTTTATGCAAACTCTTCCTTGTGCAGCCTGCCTTGAACAAAAGCAAGAAAAGCAGCCTGGGCAGCTCTTCATCTGCTGTTTGTTTTTAACCTCAAGGCACTCTATGGAACATGTTTTGGTTATGTGTGCAGTTTGAGGCCTGATTTCAAGTAAGCCAATAGAGATAGGTCACAGATGCATTACAGGTGGGACCTCCAGGTTTTTTAGCCTCTCTGCAGGATCTGCTTTTGGCAATGTTTGTGCTGAGGTGAAATACCCATTGCTCAGGTTTTTTTGAACATTTTTCCCAGCTGTGGTGCAGATTGTGGAGATGGTCTTTGAGGCATTCACAGGTTCATTTGATTTTGGAAAAGTTGGCTTAGAAATTAGTGGACATACGGTAGAGAAAGAGGCCTTCCTGGCTCATTGCTATTTTATTGTTGCTGTACAGATGGGAAGGATCTTAACATTTCTCCTCTCCCATCCTCCTCCTCCTATATTTATTATTCTATTTAACACTGGCTCCTCAATTAGTGTACCGGACTCCTTTGTGAGCAGGGTTCATTGTGATCAATTGTCATCAAGGCTAGCATTTAGTACATCCAATCAATGATGTTCTATGTAATGGTTGTGGTATTGACTGATTTTTAATTTTACAGTATGTTGAGCCCTGTTGAACTCTTTTAATATGATAATTGCTTTACTAATCAGTAGTCATGGTCTGTGTGCAATTGCAGATTATTGACATCAGTTAATATCCCCTGATATTCGTATTTGACTATATGAAAGATGCATGTGGTGAAAGATAGATAATATCTACACAGTGGATATTAAATAGAGTAATATTGAGGGAAATACTGCATCTCTGCATATCAGAATTTTAAGAAATAGGTTATTAAGTAATTTAGGAAGGTATATTTATTTTTATATGGCATAGCTATTAAATACTATCTTCTAAGTTTATGCAAACATCTATTAAACAGCTTACTTCATAACTAAATCATAAGCATTCATTTGTTCATATATTATATACTGTGTTTATCAATGGTATAATTGATTTAAACCAAAAAAAATGGTCATCAGATATGGCCATGGGCAGTTTTCTTTACTCATATAATCTATAACTTTACGTACAATATAAGTATGTACACACATTCAATAAAATAAACTGTATATTATACTTCAAATAACCACTTTGTTTGTCATGTTTTTTATTATCATTTTATAACATACACCCACAAGGTATTATAAGGACAGGTATCTATATAAAATGTACATTTATGTTAGATTTGAGTTGAGGCCCATTTCTGTCCAGATGCTGGTTTACACAGTTTTAAGTTACTCTTTGCATGTTGCACCTTCACCCTTTGCATTGTACTTGTGACACAGGCATCTGAAGGGTGCATCAAATGCAGACATTACACTCCAGTCTGCTTCGTACGTCAAGCAGGGACGAGCGGCTCTTGCTGTGGACCAGGAGGTGGCAGCGCTGTATGCTTGGCTAACGCTGCCAGGTGAAATAGAACCTTACTTAATGCCCTTTTGGGAAGTACAGGCTTTAATATCACTTAAGAAAAAAAAAAAAAGAAAATATGAAAAGGTAAGTTGATTTACTGTACATTCAGCATGTTTTGTCCTTCCTTAAAGTACTGGCATGAACAGAAAAGTACAGTATCATTTTAAGTGGTAATTTTGTTATATAGGAAGCTTCAATCAATATGCAGATAATAAAGTTCTGGAGTAAGACATATACACTCTTTTTCTTCACTGTTTCTCCTCTCCAAGCACACTGGAAAGCCAGACTGCCAGGCCTGGTTGTGGTGCGCAGTACGGTGCCATCCTTGTGGTGTGCTCCTTGTATTAATACTGCAGATTCTCATGTCTGCTGGGTTTACTGTAGCATTTTTGCCCTGAAGATGCTGTCTGCATCTCCTCCTGTGCTTGGTGCAAAGATCCGTTCAGATACTCAACCCCCTCCCACATTAACAGAGTGGTGAAGTTTTCTAATTTCTAGGTGATTTGTTGAGTTGAGTGCAGATGCTTTTAAGGTCATGATGGGAAAACCATTGCTAAATTGCCTTCTGGTGCTCCTCTACCACTACAGAACCAATTTCAGTATGCACTTATTTTGTCATATAGATTCCAGCATATTTGGTAACTTGCAGAAACAAGCACAGAGACATCTCACTTTAAAATGTGCAAGTGTATTGCTTGCTGGAAAGGTCTCAAGATCCTGTTTCCAAGACTAATGAGGAGTCTCAGCTGTTATGTTCCAAGTGATAAAATCCTGCTGTAGATGGGAGGCCAAATGACCACACCCCTGTGCTTAGGGTATCCAAATGAAAAGTGCTGGATGCTGAACACCTGGAAAACATTTGCTCCTGGGATTTGTTCGTATGACCATTGCATTAGACCATTCTCTTTCCTCTCCCCACTTCAGCAGTACAGACTCCGTCTCTCACCGAGTCACCCCAGCACAAGCACCTCTAAGACACCCAAGGCTGTGTGGGGCATTTGTTCAGTTTCTAAGGCCTGCAGCTGCCTCCACTGCAGCGTATTTCCTGCTAGCTGTTTTAGCTTGAATACTGTTTGTTTCCACTTGCTTCCATTAATGTCCTTCATGCGTGTTCACATTTTCCCTCTCATTGTAAGGAGAAAGTAAGCTCAGGTCTTTTAAGAGGGTTTTAATTGTAGCTGTATTGTTGAACTCCTAGAAACCTAGATTTCTAAATCATGGAAGTTATTTTTTTTGAGATGGGGCATGGCTGGGTGCTGTGTTTATGAAGTGCACAGTGCTTATGAGTCTTTGTCTTTCCTGGATAGAGCCCACAAGACTGCAGCTCCGTCAATCCACACTGCTAGGCTTAAAGGGTCTGTGGAAGTCAGGCTCCCTGCACTCATTTTCAGTGTAGTAACAACTAGAGGTCCATGACAGCAGAAGGTGAAATTCCACTTAAGCTCCTAGATACAAAGTGAAGCTGAAAACATCTGACTCCTTGTATAAAGGGTATCAATTCTTACAGGAGTTATAGCAAATGCAATGGTAGAGAGAAAGCATGACCTGCCTGCAGCCCAAAGACAGATGAGAGTGCAGAATTCCCCCAAGTGGTTTGCTGGCTACCTGCCATGCCTCAACAGCAGAAGATAAAAGGGAGTACTAGGATAACTACCCTGACCCTATTTATTTCCAATAAAATACAGATATTTACATAAGATGAAACTGTTTTATATGCTGAAGCTGCCTGGCTCCAGTGACAGGAGACAAATGAAAAGCCGTTTTTTTATTAGATCTGACCTACTAGAAGCCAATAACATGTACATTAACTTAGCAAAGGGAGAATGACTGCCACATGAGGTGACACTGTCCAGGCTCTCTTTCCAAGTCAGTTCAACAAGATTTCCCTCATCTTGGAGACCAGGTTTGCAGTGCTCCATACTGCCAAAACTTGGTAGCCTCTGATAAGTAGGCAGGATAACATAAGTGTAGCCAAAGGAACATAAAAATAAATCATTCAGAAAAGCAGTGTGGTAAGACTGATGAGAATTTCACACATGCTTTTTCTCAGTCTTTGATTCAATCCAAACCTCTGTTAAAATCATGCATTACATTATATAGCTGTGCATGTTAAGGCAATAAATGTAAATGCATTCTTACAACAGACATAAAAATATAGTATTACTAGTGTTCATAGAACAAAACTTAAGAATCTTGATAACTTTTCATGAAGATAAAAAACAAACCAAACCTTTTTTGATCCATTTGGAGCATGTGATTTAGATAAACTTGTAGCATATAATTTTAACTGAAGCTTTTTTTGCACGCACTGTACTTTGTGAAATAAATTGAAAATAAAGATATATTAAAATGTTTTCTTCCAAGTTTATCAACTCTGATATATTCTCATGGGGTGTTTCTTTCTCATGGCTTGCCTGTTTTACTGGAGAATACTCCACTAGAAAGCATGACTACATGTAGCCTTTGTACAGAAAATGGCCTTCAAAAAATGAAAGCACAGAAAATTGTTAGATCTAGCATTTTTTCTGTCTTCAGTGAACTCACGTTGTCTTACCTGTGATGAAAGTATGGTCCTAGTACTTGAAAGAAAAACATTCTTTTTTAGGAAAACAGGCTAACTGGTAAAAGTTTGGCAGAGAAATTGCGTGTTCTTGCAGGCTACAGCACAAGCAAACAAAATGTAATGATGAAATTAATTCAAAACTAATTTATCAGTAGATAGGTGATCAGTGTTTTATGACAGTTATATCTTTTTAGATGATAAAGGCCACTTGGCAAAGAAAGCAAGCTCTTTGGTTGTTATTTTTTAAGTCAGCCAACAGTTTTTGCAGTTACCAGCTACTCTTTGATGGGAGCGCAAGACAGGTGCAAAAGATGAACTTTAGCATGTTCACAATAAGACTTTGCCTGTAGGTCTATCACTAGGAGGAAGCTGTCAGGTTAGCAGACATGTTTTCTCCCTGAGGTCCCAGACAGAGAAGATGGCTTTTCAAGGAACTCAAGAACAGAATTGATTTTTTTTCCTATTTAGCATTAATGGCTTTGTGAATTATTCATGCAAGTGTGAAGGGAAAACAGGGATG